TATGCATACAGACCTGGGGTGCAGGGGCGGGCCACCAGAGACAGAGTGGGGAGCAGAACAGGCAGATCAAAGAAGTACACTGCTGAGGGGAGCAGCAGGCGGGACAGGAGAGGTCTGCCATGTGGATCATCTCCAGGGCTGGGGCTCAAACTTGCACTGATGTGGCTGCGGTTCACTTGCAGTGCTGGCTTTAACTCAGTGCGCCACCAGGGAGAGCCCCACAGTTTTTTTTTGAGCGCTCACTGTGAGTCAGCCAGCCCTGAAGGGACACTACTACAGGGTTTGTTCATTGCTCTTTCAGCTCTTATTCCTAGGTTACTGAAAATTTTGTGTTGTTAAAAAACACAGGTCAGTATTGGATTGTCTGAGAAAGGTTGCCACTGCTTACTGTATAATATCACTATATACATACAGATATAGTGTGTAGTACAACATGAATATAGGTGATTACATATGTGATTAATTAGGTAGCTGTAATTCTAAAATGGTAATATATTGGATTACGTTAATAATAGATATTTACAGTGAGTCTTCCCTTTAAGGTTCTGGATAGGTAATTGGAATTTCTGACTTTAAAAAACAAAGCAGGAATAAGGTGGTGGTTAGTTCATGGAGGTTGGGGACTTCTTGTATATTTCACCAACAGAACAACTTTGAACAAAACTTATTATTCCAGACCTACAGTACTTTAGATATATGTGCACATAATGACACATCGATGAATTTGATTTGCTAATATTTCATTTAGGATATTTGCATATTTGTGCTTTTTCTTGATGTTGGCCTCTTTGGCATACACTTCCCTTTTAGGGCAACTTTTTACATCCCAGAGGTTCTTATAGAATATGTCTTCATTTTTGTTCCCTAGAAATTTTTAAACTTCCTGTTGATTTCCTCATTAACCTGTTGATTTCCTCATTAACCTAATACTCAGGTAGTATGTTGTTTTTTTCTCCACATAGTAGATGTAGTGGATTTTTTTTCTTTTTGTGGTTTATTTCTAGTTTCTTAGTGATCAAAGAAGAAACGTGATATATTTTCAATCTTTATGAATTTATTGACACTTTTGTGTCAATCCTGGAAACGTTCCATGTGTGCTTGAGAAGTACTCAGTTTTGTTTTGTTTTGTTTTTTGGTTATTTATTTTTGAGTGATGCGCCATATAATACATGTGTGTTCTAATTCCTCATATATGGCTATTTTTTCCTGTCTATGAAGTGAAAGTAGGAGTGCTGAAGTCCCCCTTTACTGTTGTTTTGCTCTCAATGATTTGCTAATTATTGCCTTATATATTTTGATACTCCTTCATCTGGTGCCTGTGCATTGATTAATATATCTCCCTGACATATTGATCCCTTAATCGTTATCTAATGTCCTGCCCTGTCTCATTACCTTTTTAGCTGAAAGATGTAAGCTTGAATTTGACTTTTCTTGCCATTTGTGTGTATGTCCCATTTGCTTGTGGGATTGTTTTTCAGCCATTTTTTTTAAAGATTTATTTTATTTATTTATGCATACAAGAGCTGGGGTATAGGCCAGAGGTGCTGGGGTGAGGTATGGGGGTGGAGATGGGAGAATCCACAAGAGATAGAGACGAGAGCAGAACAAGCAGATTGACTGAAATACACTGAGGGGAGCAGTGGGAGAGAAAGGAGAGGTCTGCTGGGCCATGTGGGCCAGCTCCTTGGGGATTTAAGTCATTGCAGTGGCTGCTGATAGCTACATAGTACTGAGACTCTTGTGCCACCAGGGAGGTCTTTTACTGGTAATTTTTATCTGAAATTATTTGCATCACTCTGTCTCCGCTTGCTTGTATGGTTTCCTACAAGTGGAGACAGGTGTAAGCCTGATGGAATACTTTTAGGTTAACTACTTTTTCCCCTAGCCACACTCAGTGTTCTCTCCTTGTCTTGAAATCTTGCTAGTTCACAGTATGCATCTTGGTGTATGTCTCATTTTAGATAATCACATGCTCTTTTAGCTGTATGGACTTTTATATTTTTGTTCCTTTCGCAGTTTGAGAAGTTCCCGTCTATTATTTAGTGGAATAAATTCTCTGATCGCTTCTTTTTTTCTTTTGGAATGCCTACGATCCTTTTGTTGGCTTTTTTAATGGAGTGGGATATTTCTTGAAGTGTTTATTTTTTCTACTTATTTCTCTTTTGTCTTTCACCTGGATGATTTGTATATTATTATCGTCAAGTTCACTGACTCAATCCTCCATTTTGGTCTAGTCTGCCCCCATGGCCTTCTCCAGAGTTTATCTCCCCTGTTGATGCTATATCTCACCATTCCACTATTTTATTTGTAGTTTCAATTTATATTTTCTTTTCCTAGATTAATTTTCCTTATTCTCTTTGATTAGCTTTTTAGGGATCTCGTATTGTATATTACTTTGACTTGCTTCTGTACAGTTTTCTTCCATTTCTTTGAATTTCTTTAGCACGGCAATTTTGACCTATATGTGATAATAAAATCTCCCAGATCTTTGCTGTTGAATTCTGGAGATATTCTGTCCTTTCGATGCGTTGTTACCTTGATGTCTCAAGTTGCTACGTGTTCCCATTTGTCTACCCATTTTGCTATTTTACATTTCCCTATTTTTAACGAAGTTGTTGTAGTAGCTTAGAGATTTGTATTACTTATGCCTTTCCAGCAGATGGCACTATGGTTATCATTTTAAATCTGGCTTTTGTCGGGCTAGACACTTTGATTTTACAGCTGCTGAATCAGTGAGTAGGTGTCAGGCGTCATTACTGTTAATGTTATGAGTCGAAGCAGGCTAATATTTGTTGCACTGCCAATAGCCCTTCTTTCTGAGTTTCTAGACCTAATACTGCTGTGCTGTGCTTCACAAGATCAGTAACACTCCCAAGGTTGTGGAGTGGGGGTGGTGGTGGAACAGGAACACCCAGGAGACTCAGTCCACAAGGAACATCTCAGCTCTGCTACTGGCTTTTCCCCTTCGAGAGTGTGTTTGTCTCTCCACCCCCAGAGGTACTGTTTGAATGGCTGACTACATGGTAGTGCTGCAGCCCTGGACATAGTGTCTAGGTCAGTGTGGACGCTGATGACAACTGCTGTGTGACTGATCCTGACGAGTTAGAATTTGATGGACTCTGGAATTTGGACAGGTGTCTGGAAAATTCTGTCATTATATGCCCCATTTTATTTCTCTTCCCAAACCATCATTTGCTTATTGTCAGATTTATTATTTTCTCCTCTGCACTATTTAATCTGTATTTCAAATATGTTTCTTTTCTTGATAATTTGTTCAAACTTACCTGAGTAAAAAGTCCAGTGTGTTGTTTGGGGAAGAGAAGGAAAGAATGAGTAGAGGTAATTTACTAATGTTATTTACATTCTCCTTTATTTAAAATGTTTTTTAAAAATTGATGTTTTGGATTCCTCTTTTGTGTAAAAACATCATTTATTTTCCCTCTCAAGTATTTAAAGGTTCATACATTGTTTTAGTTCTTCTAGACTTAGACTTATTTTTTGATTGATGCATTTCTGTAGCATCTATTAACTTCACATTATGAAATGAAAAATTAGAGCATAAGTCATGCATTTACATTTTTATTTTATGCCTCTTGCACCCAAACTTTTATTATTATAATTTTGATTCCTTTTAATGGATATCCTCACACATTTCAATACTACAGTTAAAACTCTGTTATTTTACTTATCAGCTTTACATAGTGTGTGACGACCTTTGTACCTGAAGGTATAGGAAAGTAAATGTTCTCTATGTTCCATTTAGTCCCCCCATTATTGATTTTTTTTAGTAGGACTTTTACTATTATTTATATACTATTCCAGATTCTGTACTATAGTCATAAGTGCCATAGCTGTTTTGACTTAGTTTTCTATGTAAATGTGTCTTATGTTTCTGTGTTATTTCTTTATTACCAAGTTTATTGCCTTTATCTCTGTGTTGGTGGGATTTATCACTATGTACTGTTCACAAGAGAGGCTGTTGGATTTGAAAATGTTTCTTATTTTGGTTCTTACATGAAAACATGGCTCTGTTTCAAAGTCCAAGTCACTCTTTGTTTCCTGAGGAAATGTTTTGGCATGTGGATATTGCTGTGGAGAAGTATGCAGTTACCTTGATGTTTTCCAGTTGCCTGATAGGAGAAAAGAATAATTTATTTTCTTTTTTTCAGTTTGAATAGTAGTGGTACCAAACAGTTTTTCTTATTATTACTGAATGTTTGCTGGTAATGATCATGGCATGAGTATGTGGTTCACTCCTGAGGTAAGCAGGTGTTTGGATCAACATGTTCTATTATAGGGCTGGTAATGATGGCTCCTGGCTCATATCTGGCCTGCTACCTGTTTCTGTCTGGTTCATAAGTGAGAAATGGTTTTTACAAATAAATAATTGCAACCAATTATAAGTAACACTAACTTTGAATCCCTACTAAGTGACATGCTATTCTCAAAAGAATTCTGTTTTTCTCATTAATAACTCTGTATTCTGTTCTGTTGTAAGAATGCTGGCAGTATATACATTTGGCCTTTTTGTGCGTATTAAATGGTGAAGTAAATTCAACAGCTCAGGCTTTTCACTCTGTAGACTTCTATAAATTCCGCTGATGATTTCCAATGATTTCCCCCAAGTAGGTTTATCACTACCTTTATATGGAATTTAAAGTTTATCACTACCTTTATATGGAATTTAAGGTAAATTTAAATTGTATATACATATACCACCTATCAATATAAGAATGGAAAAACACTGTCTTAGAGAGGAAGTTAGCCCATATAGAGACTGCCTTGAGAAGGTGAAGTAGAATAAAGGTTGTAAATATTATACAAGAAACACTATAAGTTAATGGAGATTTAAATTAAAGCCCGCTGAGAAATTGGAAATTACATAAATTACATATACAGTTTTGAATAGTAATAGTCATGGCCATCAAATCTTTTCAATTGAAAATATAACATGAATGTGTTTTTTACAGCCCATCACTTCATAATTTTGTTCAGAAAATATGGAAACACATATACCCACTGATTTAACACATATAAGTCAAGGCATAAACCAGGAGGAAATCAACACCAAATCAAGGTAAAACAAGATTCAATAAAATTAAAATTAAAATTTCAGCATTATATGAAAATGGTAAATTCTAACTTATAGTGTCATATTCTAATAATGAAAAATGCCAAGTATCATATGAGGATTGCATAAGTTTATTGGAGTTTAGGAAACCTGTTTTCCAGGGAGTGGTTGCTAGTTAGTTAGACAAATTAACATTGGCTCTTGGCCTTCTTTCCCCACACCAACCTTAAATATGCCCAAAAGGGAAGAGATGATAGATATGAGCAATTCACCTGTGACTGAGAAACCCCAGGAAACAAAAGGTGCTTATTCCTAGGTGTGAACTGTGGCTAGAAAACAGCAAGTTAGAGCAGAAGATGGCAGCACAGGACAGATGGGGAAAAGGTTGGAGAGATACATGTTTGTTTCCTTTTTTGCATGTTGGATGGTGACTGATTTGGGTACAGATCACTGAGAGAAAGGTGAGGTTCTTTCATATGTTGAGGTCACCACTGCATATCTTAATGTAGAAGGAGAAGACATTAGATCTACGCCTCATACAAAACCCAAAACTCAAGTATTCAAGTATTTATGTATTAACTGTAAAACTGACAAAAGGCAAAACTTTAAAACTATTTGGTAAAAGCATGAGAGAATTTTCACTTGGACTGAGAAAGTATTTCAACAAGACACATGATCCAAACTATATGTTTGATATATTCCACTACACAAAGTCAAGAACTTCTGTTTATCAAGACTTTATAAAAAAAAGTGTTAAGATATGTCCAAACAAGAAGACATTTTCAATACACATAAGATGACAAAAAACTATTATCCAATATGTTAAAGAACTAAACATTGGTAAAGAAGTAGTAAATATGTCAGCCCACACACGCAATAGGCACACACACACACATAAACACACACAGAGGGAATAAAGGACAGGGGTGGACATTTCAGTGAAGAGGAAAGGGTTGAAGATGTTCATAAGTCAAAAGGGAATCAAAGGGCTGTAAATGAAAATAAATATTAACATATGAAAAATAAGTAAGTAATAAAATATAAAAATAAAAAGCTCACCAAAGACAAGTTCAAACAAGTTATGCTGTATTGTGTGATGAAGTATTTTGTTTAAATAACAGTAGGATTTTTTTTTCCCAATAAGAATTAAAAATATGGATTCGTAGAACCCTGAATTTCCACTGCCTTATAAAAAAATGGTCTATCTATAGGTCAGTGTAGGCACTGATTTTGGAATCTGTTCTGATGAAAAAGTTTTTCCAACAGGTACCAAGCAAACAATTGGCTGATGTTATAATTCTGATAACAGGTGGTTGTTGCTTATAAAGGAATAGATTCATGTGTTAAATTTTATAAAACTGTATCTTTACCTTACTCTGTTATTTATTTCAGTGCACAACATGTCCATCTTTCAAAATTAGGATGAGGATTTTTAAAGTCCTTATAGCCTTAAAAATTCAATGATAATCCCAATGACATTACTTAGCATTTAAATAAGTTCTTCATATAAATGTTTCAGTCCTGATATTTAGAGTTTCTGTCAAAAATTGTAAAGTACAGAAAAAGATTTTAAGTTATAGAGAATATTAACCAAAACATCTTATTTTTTGTCATGTTAGACTTCCCAAAGATGTCATATCATCAGAGAATCAACCAGCTAAAACAAGAGAAAAGGAAACATTGAAATACAAAACATTTAGAACACATTCTGTACCATTGAAATCAGAGACAACAGAAGAGATTGATCAAGATTATCAGCCAGGCATGTAGACTTATTTTCTTTTATGGCTTAGAAAGTTTTCATAGCACCGAATCAAGAAAACAAATGAAGTATATTAAAATAGTAGATTCTATTTTCACAGTACAAGGCTCAGTGCTTTGCTAATTTCATTAGTCACAGCAAGAACAGTACCTTCAGGTACCACATTTGCCTTTTAAAGGGAACATTATGTAAATAACAGTCATCATAATAAAAATTAATAGAGCATTAATTCCAAGAGTAGCTTGCATTTCTACTGCAATTTTTATGCATTTATTTCACAGGATTCACATTTTAAAGTCTAATAACAAAATCAACTAATATTCATTTAGTGAACACCTATTTGTGCTTTAAATCTGTTCACTAATTTAGTCCTTGCAACAACTCTGTGAGCTTCTTATGTAACAGTCCTCCCTTGAAAGCTGACTAAAGTAAGGCAGACAGGTAACTCACAGAGTAACACAGAACTGTGACTGGTAAAACTGTAACTGAGCTGTGACAGAAACAGTGCCCTTCAGTTCACCTGCTTACAGAATGACGGGCTGTGTACTTGGTGGGTTGCCGTGGTATTCATTGCTCATGTTGATATTCAGTCAATATCGGTTTTATTTTCAGCTTACCTTCAAGAAAGTGTAATTCAGCAAGATGTACCTGCTTCAGAACCATTTCCTCAGAAGAAGAAGAAAGAGAAATCCAAGGGGAAAAAGGAGCAAACTCAGGCTTGTCACAAAGTCAGGGCGACCAGGGTTGTGTCGTTTGACAGAATGGGTATGTGCACTGCTGACTGAGCCTGTTTGGGAGACACTACACTGTTTCAGACGATTCTCTCGGTGTTTCTATTTGACACTGAACGTAAAGACACAATCTTGTTGAAATTTATGTGTTTGGTTGCTTCAAGAATAGTTAAAAACTTGTAATTCTTTTTGCAAGCCTAAAATATCATTAGGTTAAAAATCTGGTGGAGACTGTCTGATGACGATGTCCTTAAGAACATCTCTGAAAGGTATAAGGCACCTTAGAACTATAAAGTTGCCTAGTTTTCAGTACATCTTGATGGTGTCCTTATATTTAATACTTTTATGTCTTTGCTTGACTTAAAGTTTATATCTCTGAGTAAGTAATTCATTTAAACAGATTTTCCTCTAATAACATTTTCCCTTGTACTTTCTCTGTACCTGAAATTCTTATTTGTATTATTATTTGAAGTTTTACAGGAAAAAGGAAACTTTTCTATTTTTCAGTGAAATACCATGGCTCTAGGCAGATTTGCCATAAAGCTTTTAAATCCTAAATTTCCAGACCACTAACTTCTTTGTTTTCATTTCACAAAAAGAATATTCTCGAAACACAGAGGCCTCTGGTAGCACAAAACCTTTATAGATACCATGGTTTTCATGCTCTGTACAATCCCTTCCCCTGTGCAGGAAGGACCTGTGTCTGCTCCTAACCCACAGAGTGTGGCGAAGGTGTTGAGCTCTAACTCCAGTGATTGCATTCCTTGCCAAGACTCTGTCCTGCTTGTAGAATTGCTCTGAAACTCCCCCTGCAGCCCCTGGAGAAGCTCGCTGCTATGACTCCTGCAGCCACGTGGAAGTGGATTCTGCTGCCTGGCAGATCTTTACCCATGGTAACCTCCAAATGAGAAGCCAGGCCCAGCCAGCCCCTCAACTTCAGGCTCTGTGACCCAAATTACAGGAGGCAGTCAAGCCATATCCAAACTCCTAGCCCACAGAAATGAGCTTCAAAACACTAAATTTATGGTAATTTGTTAAACATTTGGAAAACGGTCAGGGTGGATCTCCTTGCAACAAAGCGGCCACTGTTGCTGCTCTGTAAGCATTCCTAGCACTTGCTCATATTGTCGTTTGTTGTTGGGAATTGATATCAGTGTCAGAAAGGGTAACACGTTAATACAATGGCTGCCAAACAAAACCAATACAATTTTTTAATGATTATGTTTTATTTGCCCTTTTCATTCAACTTCAAGATGTAGATTGGTAATGAATTTAATACTTAGTATTTAGTACTTTTTTAAGAGTTATGAAAAAATTAAACATTAAAAAATAGAAAAATAGGCCCTCCCTGGTGGCGCAGCAGTTTGGAACGCAGCGCTGAGAGGCTAAGGCCACTTCCGCATGAGTTCGATTCCCGCCTGCCCTGAGGTGACCACATGGCATGGCAGACCTCTCCTGACCTGCCCACTGCTCCCCTCAGCGGTGTACTTCGTCGATCTGCCTGTTCTGCTCCCCACTCTGTCTCTGGTGAATCCTCTCACCCTCTGCACCTCTGGCCTGTACCCCAGTTCTATATGAATAAATGAATTAAAAAAAATAGAAAATTATAACGTAACAGGTATCCATGTGCTTGGATTTAATGGCTGTCGATGTTTTGTCAACTTTGTAACAGGAAATTGTAGTAGTCAGAATTCTAAAATGCATCCCCCTCTGCATCACCCTGTATAACTCCTTCCCCTTGAGTGAAGGCAGAACAGGTGAGTATGATGAAATATCTCTTCTATGATGATGTCATTTCATATGGCAAAATGAGATGCAATTAAGGCCCAGAAGCAGTTGACTTTGAGTTCATCGAAAGGAAGATTATGGAGGGCAAGTCTTATCTAATCAAATGAGCCTCTAAAAGACACCAAAGAAGCAGTAACAGAGGTTATTTTGCCCCCACTGGAGGAGCAAAGGGCAGGATGGCGGGATGGAAGAGCTGAATTTAGTACCCAGCTATGATAACTGAGGCTAGTACCCAGCCATTAGCAAGAAAATGGGATCCTCGGTCACACAGCCAAGGAAGTGAGGTCAGCTTACAAGGCAGGGAAGTCAAGAGGCAGTTAGTCCATTGAGACCAACTAAAATTTGCTGGAGTCCTCAGTCAATGAATTTGCATCATCTTACATCAGCTTGTGGTAACTTGTGATACAGCAATAGAAAACAAATACCAAGGCAGAGTGGCGCAGATGGTGTCAAAGCCGTGCTCCGAGGCCTCCTTTCCCTGTTCGCTTACCCAGCTACTACCAGGGTCAATGGACACCCATATAACATCTGTGTGACTGCCTTTTCTACTTATGGTTTTATGCTATTTCTACGTTTATGTTTATCCCTCATGGCAATTTAAAATTTTGTACTAGCATTCTTTAATATACATACCTTCAAAAGGTGGAGACTATCCCCTTCCCTTCAAGTGAAATCCAGACTTGATGACTCAGTTTTACCAAATAATATGGTGGAAGTGAGAGTATTCAACTCTAAAAAATAGTATCCAGCAGAAGTGATAGCTTGTGACTTGTAAGACTAAGTGACAAACCCGTAGTGGCTTTTTCCTCTTGCGGCCTTTCTTGGCTCTCTCTTTCTGGAGAAGCCACCCATCATTTGCAATACTTAAGCAGCCCTACAGATTTATGTAATGAAGAACTGAAGCTTCCATTAACAGCTGTGAGCAAGCTATCCTGGAAGTGATCCTTTAGCCTTCAGATCAGTGACTGCAGTCCCACCCAACATTTTGATTACTTTTTCAGGAGAAATTCTGAATCAGAAACACCTAGCTAAGTGCCTTTCAGATTTCTGACTCATGGAAACTGACAACAGATATTTATTGTTTTAAGTCGGTAAGCTTCCCCTAACCCTCACTCCTGCCCCCACCTTTTGATGAAGAACAGCCTTTTAACTGGCTCCCAACCTTAGTGTTTTCTCTTGCTGACTACTAACTACCTATTCAATTGTGGAAGTAGCTCTTTGGTGGTATCTTTCTTAAATGAAAAAATATTGTTTCTTCTTTCCAGCTTTTGTGAAAATTGACTTTTATGCTATCTTTTCCCCTGCAGGTATAGTCTGTATAAACTTTTTATCATGAAAATTTTTCCTTGTGTAGAAATATTTAGAATATTATCCTTAAATGATACTGATACTTACACTTATATTAGATTTTCTTAATGTTTTAAATCAGAACCAGAACCAAAAGGTGATGATGTGATAAAACATATTATTAGACTACGAGAAAAGCTTGGTTGGCAAACAGTATTACCACAGCAAGATGTCAAATACAAAAGTTCCAAGGTTGTAGTTCGGGAGACTGCTCTAAAGGTATTATTCTAATTTAGTCAGTTTTGTATTATAAAAGTTAATATTTGAAACTATCATAATCTTTCTTATTTATTTTAGATATTACAGAAAAATCAGACATTACATTTAAATCAAATTAAAATCACTGTTTCATGTTAAATGTTTATGAAAAGTGTTGAACATCATTTCATTTCACTTTTTAAAAAAATGGAGAGCAGATAAGATACAATATTTAATTTTATGGCACATGAGAATATTTGTGCCTGTCTTCTCTCATCACTTCCTCTAACTGAGTGGGTCCACCGGCAGGAGAGCCATCACCTGAAGTTCAAATCTACTGATGTTCCTATATAACAGTATTTTTATCATTTACAAAGAAATCTTGATGTACTTTGTAACAGTCTCATTTATTTGTTGGTACCTGATTTTCTATCTCGTTCTCTCCACACATTATCCTTTCGGCTTTCCCCTTACCCATTTAGCCTCTTCAGAGAAACTTTATCTTGTCCAAGGTCACATGGTCAGAGGATGGAAGCTCTTATAGGAACTGAGGTCTGCAGCCTGAGAACTCATTTACTACCCCTGATCTAAGAGCGAGATTATTTCTTCCCACTTTTAGATCAGCATTTCTCAAAACTGCAGTCCCCAGACACTCAGCATTAACATTACATCATAACATATGTAAGAGAGAATACATATTCGCATTTCTACCCTAGATCTCCTAAATCTGAAACTCTGTGTGGGGGGCAGTTTGCAATCTGGGTTTTTATTCAGCTCTAGATGGTTATGATCCACAGTTAAAATCACTGCTCTCTAGCAGGGGTCACTGGACTTTGATGACCTCCGATGCAATGATTTAGTGCTGCAATTGTAATGAACAAAGTAGAACAATACATACAAAAATAGGTGTGGAGCCCTCCCTGGTGGCGCAGCGGGTTAAAGCACAGCACTGAGAAACTAAAGCCACTTCAGCATGAGTTCGACGCTTGCCCAGGAGGTGACCCACATGGCGCGGCAGACCTCTCCTGATCCACCCGCTGCTCCCCTCAGGAGTGTGTTTCAGTACATCTGCCTGTTCTGCGCCCCAATCTGTCTCTGGTGAATCCTCTCACCACTCCTGCACTTCTGGCCTGTAACCCAGTTCTGTATGCATAAATAAATAAATCTTTAAAAAATAATAGGTGTGACTGTGTCCCAAGGGGATTTTATTTATGGAAATTGTCACCTTGCCCTGGATATAGTGGCTGACCTCTGCCCTGAAGATAAGTTGCTTTTTGATATTACCCAGAGGTAGTATAATGTGAAGGAATGCCTGATAGAATCAGATTCATGTAATTTTGAATCTCTGTTTATACACTTTGTTTTTTTAGAGATTCTCTACCCTCTCTAAGCTATAGGTTCTTTGACTTTGAAATGGATATGATAATTCTTGCCTTAGAGAACTCTGAAGGTGAAGTGAGATAAAATATGTGGTGCCTGGCAGATAGTGGGCACAGTGGTTTAAAAAAACCCATAGCTGTGCATGAGCTTAATGTCATTGGACTCTCAAATAAGGTATGTTTTAATCGTATGTGAAAAAAAAGGATTAAAAATACCAAGATAACTATAATAAAACCCATGTGCAATGCAAGTTACCACTCAGGGATTATTTATTTCATTTTATTGCAGTTTTTTTTAAAGATTTATTTATTTATTCATATAGAACTGGGGTACAGGCCAGAGATGCGGAGGGTGAGAGGATTCACCAGAGACAGAGTGGGAGCAGAACAGGCAGATCGACGAAGTACACTGCTGAGGGGAGCAGCGGGCGGGCCAGGAGAGGTCTGCCACGCCATGTGGATCTCCTCCGGGGCAAGTGGGAATCGAACTCATGCGGAAGTGGTTTAAGCTTCTCAGTGCAGTGCTTTAACCCGCTGTGCCACCAGGGAGGGCCCTTATTGCAGTTTTTAAACTTGCTTTTAAAACAAGTGCATAGTAGAATTCAGAATAAAGTGAAAGCTCTGAGAGAATTGAGAAGAAGCAATAATAGTCTTCAAGGAAGATAAAATTTAAAAAATGTAAAACTGTATCCAAACTTTAAAATTATAGTAACTATAGACACTATTTACTCAATTCAATAGCTTCTGAAGGCTATTGAATTATAAAAGAAAACTAAATGCTTTTCTATAATAAAAACTTAATTATCTAGAAAAGACTAAATTAAACTTCCCTTTAGAGTAATTTTAGAATTGTTTTCATCAATAAAAGTTAAAAGTTTCAAGGCTAAAATAAATCAATTTTACTTAAACAATTTCAGTGATGTCAGTTGCATTGTAAAACCTTCCAGAAGCTCAGTACCTGGGTTAAAGTCAGACTTGTGTTGAGACTTTGCCACTTGCTGTCTTTGTGACGTCTCAAATTACTTAATGTTTAAATTTCTGCATCTATTCAATCAGACTAAAAAGAACAAAGTTCTTATATCTTTAAGGGATTAAAATCTCATGGCTGTAAAAATAATATATGTGAAAAACTCAACATTAAATATTTATATTTTATTTTGATTATTTTAATTTACCAAGTAATCCGGTCAAGTTAATTAATTAATTTTTTTTTAACCTCAGGCACCCTTGAAAGATGATGGAGAATTTATATATTGCCTGCCTCAGAAAAGTCCTAAAGCCCTTTATAATCCTTATGATCTTCAGGTAGTGTCTGCCCATAAAGCTAGACATTGCAAAGAATTTTGGATTGTTACTGCTTCATTTGTCTCAAAGGTAACAGACAATGGATGTATCCAGCTTTCAGAACCAAAATGGAAAAGAGTCCAGTGTTTGGATAACTTTTTTCTGTGTATTTCAAAGTTGGTTGCTTGAGTTTGGGAAAAACATTATTTACTAATAACATTTTTTTTTCATGTCATGTTTAAATATTTAGGTTTGAGAATTAAATTTTAAGACTTTTTTTCCTTCTCAAATACTTAATATTTTGTGCAGTTTTTAAAGAAAGAATAAGACAACAGCCATTTGCTGGTGGTTGCTGTGTCAGTTTTCCCTAAAGAGAAGATCGCATGGAGGAGAGATCTGACACAGAAACGACCAGCCGGACCCGTCTTCTCGTGCTGTCCTTTCTTGACGGCAGTCCTAGGGCCGCTGTGCAGCAGCCGGGAGAGCTGCCCAGGGCTGCCCAGGGCTGCCCAGTGCTGCCCAGTGCTGCGGGAGCCCGCGCGGGGTGTGACCTGCGGCGCAAGTTCTGACGCGTCGTCCTCTTGTGTCTCTTTTCTAACTTGATGCCAGTAACTTGAAGCGACCTGGTGTTGCCTGCCGGTGAATGAGTTCAGGGCACTCACCTACACTCTTTCATTCGACTCAGAGAAGCACTAGTAGGTCTTGTCTGTGTAGAGTAGAGAGGCCAGAGGCGAGTAGGATGAAACGCAACACGGGAACTTTGAGCAAATAACGTGTGTGGGAGGAAAGTAAACTACGATCCATGGGCAGGGTGCCTTGACTAGGCTTCCTGGCTTCCAGACATTTTGAATTGTCATAAAAATTTTGATGTGCTATTACAGCTTTCAGTAACATGTATGTATGTTATTACATGTATGTATATTATGCACATATTATATTCTATGTATGTATATTAGTAAAATTGAAATGTATTTGAAATGAAATGAAATTGGCAAATTTAGAGGCAAATGCTTAATGAGAAAGTTTGGCTGTAGATGAGTCAAATATAGAAAAAGCTTATTTCTAAAGGCAAGTGTTATGAGCCAAATAGAGGCTTTCTTAATTTCCTTGGACTAGTGTGTATTTTTTAAAGAAAGTTCTCTTTTTTGCTTTGTATTTTCAGGTTGTTAGAATTGGTGATACAGAAGAAGTAGAACTCATACCAACCACAGAGTGGCTATTAGAAAGAAGATGTTATTATTTTTTACAGAAATTCAAGATATTTTATAATTTTAGGTGAGATAAATTAAACCAACTTTTTGTGGTATGATCGTATTGAAATAGCAGTTGTCTGGCTAACATCTGGTTCTGTTGCAGTAATGCCATATGTATGGGGAGTGTGGAAAGGGAGCATGCCATTAGCATTTTTTTAGATAACGGAAGCTTACCCATTTAAGTATTAAAGCTCTTTAATTTTTAACATTTTTGGACAAATAAGATCTTTTGTAGACAAAAATAAATTTTATAGCTGAGCAGACTTAAATTGACTATAATGACCTTGATTTCCCTTTTGTTTTTTGTGCATTTATTCATTAAAAAAGTATTTATTGAGAGTCCATTAAAATCTGGGCATTATTCTAAGTTCTGGGGATCCTGTATTGAGCAAACCAAAACTTATCATACTGTGAAAGAACTTAGCGGATAGTGATGAGATAGTAAGAATATTGTGAGAGATAATAAGAAAAATACATAAATATGTACAATTTAATCTCCATGATTTTCTTGTGGAGATTAAATGTTATCAAAGAAAATAAAACAGAATCAGGGAGTTGGGGAATGTGTTTCTAGTATTTTCTAGAGTGAATAAGTCTTTGCTAAATTTATTCCATAAAAATACATTTATGAATATATAATATAAACAGTATTTTTTGTTTCAGAATTAAAAAATCATTTGTGGCTTGGAAATCGAATATTAAAAGGATTAAGATAGAGCGGAGCAGGTAAGTTTTGATATATGATATGTTTAAAAAATTTCAAGAGAAAAAATCCTTAACTTAAATATTCGGTATGGAAACAGAGGTAAATGCATTTTCAACCAGTGGTTTGAGAGTCATATTCCATAGCCTTAATGACTAAATATAACCCACTTTATTAAAAAAGAAATTAGTCTTATAATATTAACATTATATTAAACATTCTACTTCATAGTGTGCCCTTCATATGAGAAAATTGTAGTGCTGTGAAGAACCTGGACATCCTCAATCCTGCAGTCATATATCTAGGCTTCATTTTGAGTTGGCTTCATCCGTTTCTTGGTTTTGTTTCTCCATATTCCAAATGTGAGGGAAATCATCTGGTATTTGTTTTTCTCTCTCTGGCTTATTTCACTTAGAATAATCCCCTCCAATTCTGTCCATGATGTGCTAGTTTCTCATTCGATTCTTTTCTACTCTTCCTTCTGTCATTGTTAGCAATCATTTGTCTCACCTTTATGGCCACAATCAAACCAAAAGAAAGGAGAAGAGTAAATACAAGGGTCCTTCTCTATTTAGGATATTCTAGGATAATTTAAGAAACATTATCCAAACAATCCCAAATTCAGTTAATTTTTTTCCTGTAGCTGGGATTTAGTAAATTGAGGACATTCATTTAAACTTCATAAATAAAATAAAATAATAAATAGTAAATACAATTCTTTTTGGCTGTTACTGCTTACTATTCTAAATTACTAGAACTCAGTGGCTTACAGAGTAACACCATTACTTGTTTTTTTAGCACACCAGTACCAAGCCTTTCCTTCAACAGTATTAATCAAACAAATCTGTGATGCTTAGTAATCTTTGTCAGTATCATTTAAAATGTATATGTAATGCATATTAATTATGGAAGTATAAGACAAATTATACTAGTTATCTCTGAATTTCATGCTATTGAATAAGAGATAAATTGGGATTTTTTTTTTTTAACTTTCAGGTCACTTCTATCCCATGGGCTTTTTTTGGCTGACGAATTATTTCTAGGGTGTTTGCTTTTTATAAAGAGACTTTGCGAAGATGCCATTAATCCTCTAAATGGTAAAAAAAATGAAGATAACTCATCTGCCATATGCCTTGTAAAGGTGGGTAGAAAAATCCTACTATAAGCTAAGATTGGCATAAGGAAACTAGAAAGAGCAAATGCTGGTTTGAATTAGAGGAATACAGATTTCTGGATCCATAAGTAGACTATCCCTATGGATGGCTTATCTTCAAAATATGTAGAGAACATTATTCCTGTGTGTAGTCAATTTCAATAATTGCCAGCATTAATTATAATTTCTTCCACATATTTAACCTAAGTCTGTTATGAGGCCCTTTATTTTCAGAACCTGTACAATATTCTTCATAAATATATCATTTGTGATGACATAATTGCTGTTTACCAGTTGTTTTTCTCTTAGTATAGCATGTCAAGAAATTTTCATAAGTTGCAACTCGGAGGTTGTGGTTAAATTTATAAATTTTCCTTTTCTACAATAGGGCAGTCTTCTTAATGAATGATCTAACTTATGTAGAATAGTTCTTTCAAAGGAATGCATATCTCTATATCTATATATGCATATATAAAGTGTTTAATATACAATTTAAAATTGTACAATTGAATTTTGATTCTACAACACTCAACATTTGCTATTATTTAATTAGCTGGATAGATCTCGAACGTATTCTCTGGATGAATTCTGTGAAGAGCAATCACAGCAAGCTACCCAGGCACTGAAACAGTTTAAGGCTATCAGGAGTAAAGCAATTTCAGAAATTAAAAGTACACTTTTAAAGGTAATGCTTTTTATCCCCTCTATCAGATTCATCCTCTCTATCAGGTATCAGTGACTGAAATGTCAACCCTGCAAAAGTGTTGGAAATGGACAATTAAAGGGACAAAGATGGTTAACCAAACAAGTAATACTGCACGTTTACTAGGTACAGACACTAGATGTTCTCTCTCGAGCAGAGGCTCATATTTTGACACTGCTCTTTCATGTAGCCAGCAGACCACTAAATTGCTGGATCCTTTGCCATCAGTCAGGGAACTTTCCCCATGTTCAGAGTGAGTGTCATTACAAAGCATTGCTATTACTTCTATTATTTTGTTACGACATTTGATATTTAAATGCTGAGAAATATTCTTCTCTTTTTGGATGTCTTTTGTCAGGTTGTTCTGACAAGATTGTTTCTAGTACCATGTTGATAGGAGTGGTGAGTGTGGGGACCCTTGTGTTGTTCCTGATCTTAAAGGAAAAACTTCCACCATTGTATATAATGTTAGCTGTGGTTTTGTCATTGAAGTATGTTTATTCATTGAATATTTATTACATTGAAGTACATTGTTTTCTCTATACCCAATTTGTTGAGTATTTTTTTCCACTAAAGGATATTGTATTTTGTTAAATGCTTCTTCTGAACCTATTATTATAATCATGATCTTTAGCTTTCAGTTTATTAAGGGAGTTATCATATTTGCTGACATGTATTGATTGAACCATCTTTGCATCCCAGAGATATATTCTGTTTGATCATGGATAATGTTGAATCCAATTTGCTAGTAGTTTAGAATTTTTGTGCCTACATTTATCAGGGAGGTTGTCTGTAGTTTTCTTTTATTGCTGTGTCATGAGTGTTGGTATAAGAGTAATGCTGACCTTGTAAAATGAGTTTGGGTGTATGCACTCCCCCTCAAGTGTTTGGAAGAGCTTGGAAAGGATTGGTATTAGTACTTATTTAAATGTTTTGCAGACTTCACTAAGGCTTTGGGCCTTTTTAGTCTTGGGAGCTTTTGATTATTGACTCAGAACCCTGCAAGCTATTGGGGTCCTTGATATGCTTCCAGATCCAGCATCTACCGATTCAAGTAAGCACTGGTGGTGGCTGGAATTTGCTGGTGCCCATGTAGTAGCAGAAACCAGTTGTTGGAGATAGATGCATAATTATGAGTTCCAGGGAAGGAATCAATGACTGGGTACCCTGATAGCTGCTGAAACTTTGCATGTACAGCTATGATTGATGAGTCTCATGATGGGTGGTCCACTGCCAGTAGTTACTGTATGAAAATATAATAGTTATGAACTAATTGAATGGAAACTGAGAACCACCACCATTGAGGTAAACCTGGAGTCAAAGTTGAGATATGCTTAATCCAAAATTTATTCTGTGTTGATAGTGAATAAATTAGCCTATTAAATGCCAGAATCCCTACCTGCCTCTTTAATATTCATGAAAAAAGAGGAGTAGTTCTAGCCATATCACTTGTGTTGTGGGATTGATGAAATTACTAAATGGTTCAAAGCTGATTTAGAATTGATGCTATTTAAAAATTTTTTTTGATTAATAGACTCTGCTTCACCATTTTACCCGTTAAAAGCTCTCTGTTTTTCAAAGAACGTTTTCAGGTCCTATTACAACTCCTCATTAAAACACAACCTTTTCAATAAAAGCATCACCCTTTATGTAAGTTAGTATTCCATTAGTCAGGTGCAGGTTGACTGTGTTCTTACATGGTATAGAACTTGCTTTGTCTTACAGTTTTTTTTTTTCTACCATCAACCCTCTTACCCCTTTTGAACCATTCTCCCTGCAGTATCCCTCTTAACCCAGAAACCTTACTTTACTTATTAATGACAGCTTTTATAAGCGTTTTATTTTTATAAGTATTTTACTTCATTGAATGATCTGTTATGTAAAAGTGTAGTATTTGTTTTTGTGATTCTGTCTTGACTTACTACACATAATTCTTGTAAATCTTGTTGTGTGTGTGTATTTATATGTGTCATTCTCCTAGGTGTGTAGGTTTGAACCATTCTCCCTGCAGTGTGTGTAGGTTATTGTGGTGTTAACCTACATCACCTTTATTAAATGTTATGCTGAAGATTTTTCCGTATATCTGTTGGCCTTCTAGATATGCTATTTGGTGAATTGTCTGGTTAGATCTGCTGCACATTTAGTAATTGGGTTGTTTGTTTTTATATCGTTGAATTGTATGCTTTTAAAAATGTATCTTAGACATTAATTGCTTGTTTGCTTCATAAGGTGTAAGTAGTTTCTTCAGTTAGATGTCTTTTACTACTTATATTTCCTTTCACTGTATAAAAGACTTTTAATTTGAGGTAATTCCAGTTGTTTGATTTTGCTTTTAATTTCATATTGAGGATTGAGTCTCTAAAACATTTTAATCATTGATGTCATGGAACATATTGCCAAAGCTTTCCTTTATATATTTATTGTTGGAGATCTACCTTTTTTAAAAAACATAAATAATTTTTTTTCTAAGCAACTATTAATCAGTAAATATCATATTGCCTCATATTGGCAAACAATTCTGCCAGAGAGAGTTAGCCAGAACTGGAAAAAGTTTGCCAAACAACTGATTCAATTTATTAAAAAGAAAAGAAAATGAAAATGAAAGTGAGTAAAATGAAACACAAATAGGAGCAACATAAAAACTAATGAAATTACGTTTAAAAAAATTAGAATGTAAGTTGGCCTATTACCTAGTACTGTCATACCCTTGAAGCAAAAAAGAAAAAAAACAAGTAAGAACAACATATAAAAGAATAAAAATTGGAAATGCTTTTAGAACGAAAAGTCCATTTATAATAAACACAGTTTATGTATTTAAAAGGAATAATTTCAAGGTTATTTTAAAAAGAATTTAGAATTATAGCACCAAAATTGTACTGAAGACACCTTGTATTTTTGTATCAAAACATGCCATTCTCCAATAATGTGCTCAGTCAGTTGTCTTAGGAGATATATTTCTTAAAAATACATCAGATTTGAGCTTAAACTTTTTCTTAGTTTTGTATTACCTAGCATATATGTTTTGTAAAAAGTCTAATTGTGTTACCATACCATGGGGGGAGTGGAAGTGGATTGAGTTTTAGGAAACCTTGTATTTAAACTTGACTGTCCTGTTAGTAACTCTTAGTGTGTTTGAGGAGTGTTCCTCTGTATCTTAATATGTTGATAGTAGTATGTATTTCCCATTTGAATTCTTATCTGCTTATAAATAAGGCACCCAAGGCTTCAAAACACAAACTGTTGCCTCTTTGTTGATGAACAATGAATGATGCTGAAAATGTTTAGTGTTAACATGTTATTTAGACCAAAAAAAATTCTTTAAGTTAGAAATCATGCTATATCAATATGGGAAATCACTTGTCTCTCAATTGTTTATTTAATTGTAGGTGGCAGAAAAGGAAGATATTAAAGAATATTTTGAGTCAGAATTGTTGGAAGATGACAGAACCCATTTCAAAATACCTAACTATCGGCGTTTTTTAGAGACAATACTGAGGTTTCTGAAGCTGGTTGACTACATATTTCAGGACCTCATTTGTCAACTAATGAACACAGCAGTTACACTGTTACTGGAATTATTTGATAGCTCTGCCAGAATAACATTTTCAGTGGAAAAAAAGAATGAAAATCTCATCAAGTAAATCATACTTTTTTGAATTATGAAAGAAATTTATAATCGGAATGTAATGTATTACCATTGTGGAGGAAATATCCAGTAATTTAAGCTAGAATTTGAACATTCTCCTTGCAAAAGATTATACCTTTCTTTTACTCAACTTTTGTAATTACTGCCCTATTAAAACTTGTAGAATATTTTTATTTCTTTATTCTAATGAAATAAGATATGTGATTTTTTGTTGAAATTTTACACACACACACCACCTACCATTTTAACCATCTTTAAGTGTGAAATCAATGGCATTAAGTACACTCACAGTGACGTACTACCATCACTATACCTATTTCCAGAACTTTTCCATCATCCCATAATTAAAATCTCTACTGATTAAGTCATGGCTCCTCACTCCCCATGCATCACATCCTACAAAGCTCATATAACCTCTGGAATGCTTTCTGAATCCAAATTTATGTATTCTATGTATCTCGTGTAAGTGGAATTATAAATTACTTGCCCTTTGTGTCTGACTTTTCACTCAGCATTGCATTTTCAAGGTTTATCTTTGCTGTGTGTAGCATGTGTCAGAATTTCCTGTTTAAGGTCGAATATTTTAATATATGTATATGCGGCTTTTCATTTATCCATTCATCTAGTCAATGGCATTTGGGTTGTTTTAACTACTGTGAATGATGGTGCCATGGATATTAATGTGAAAATAAATGTTTGAGTCCCTGCTTTCAATTTTTTGCTTGCTTCCCAAGAAGTGAAGTTGCTGTGCAAATGATAATTCCACATCTGATTTTGAAGAACTTCCTTACTGTTTTCCACAATAGTTGTACCATTTTAATTCCCACTAGCAAAGAAAACACCAGCTTTCTAATCCTGATCAGCGCATTGTTTTTCACTTTTAAAATAATAGTCATCTTAACTGGTGTGAAGTAGTGTTTCATTGTGGTATTAATTTGTATTTTTCCTCATGATTAAGTTGTGCTAAACATTTTTTCATGTACTTATTGGCCTATCTTCCTTGGAGGAATATTTAGTATTAATGTGTTCTGGACATTAATGAAATAAAAGAATTTAAAAAGATTGTTTTCCTTCCCATTTCTTAATCTAGAATATACAAGGACATTTTTGCCTTCACTGAAAGGATAACAAATGATTATGAAGTACTTGTTAATACTAATTCATCTTCTCTTCAAAAGTCAGAGGTAAAACCAAAAATTACTAATGAGGTAAAATGATCAAAATTTTCTTTTGAAAATATAAGCACAAATTAAACACTTTTAATAAGGTTAAAAATATCTTTTACTCATTTGTTTTTAATTGAAGTAATATTGAGAGATAATATCCATCAGGTATTACCATCTTTGTGTATTCACCACCAAGTCAACCACAACCCACCACCAGAGGCCACTTGCTTCCTTCCCTCTTTGTTCTAATCCTCCCACACACACATGCTCCCTGTGCTTCAGTTTCGTAGTCAGGTGTCAAGGGTTGATTTTTCAAAAAATATTTATTTATGCATACAGAACTGGGGTACAGGCCAGAGGTGCAGGGATGGTGAGAGGATTCACTGGAGACAGAGTGGGGAGTAGAATAGGCAGAGTGACAAAATACACTGCTGAGGGGAGCAGCGGGCAGGTCAGGAGAGGTCTGCTGCACCATGTGGGTCACCTCCAGGGCTGGAGATTGAACTCACACTGAAGTGGCTGCAGCTCACTTGCAGTGCTGTGTTTTAACTCTCTGTGCCAATAGGGAGGACCACGGTTAGTTTTTAAGTATGTCTGTATCTAACTCTTAGTTTAGTTACTTTATAGTCTACATATTAGTGACCCCATCTGTTATTATCTTTCTTCTTCTGACTTATTTTACTTAGCATTATCTCTTCAAGTTCATGGCACAAGTGGTATGAGGTTTTTTTTGATTGCTGAGTAATATTCCATTATCTTCTTGATCCAGTCCTCATTTCTGGGGCACTTAGTTTGTTCCATAATTCATCTATAGTAAATAGCATTGCAAAAACATGGGTGTGAGTTTCCTTTTGAATTAATGTTTTTGAATTTGGGGGATAGAATACCTAAGAGTGGAATTACTGGGTCAAATGGAAGATCCAATTTTAATGTTTTGGAACACCTCCATACAGCTCTCCATAAGGGCTGGGCCAGTTTGCTTTCCCACCAGCAATGTAGGAGAATTCCCTTTTCTCCACAAGCTTGCCAGCATTTGTTGTTTCTGCTTTTTCATATGGACCATGCTCACATGTTTGAAATGGCATTTCATTGCAGTCATGATTTGTATTACTCTAATAATAAGTGATTGTGAACATTTTGGAGAAGTGTTTGTTTAGGTCTTTTGCTGCTTTTGATAAGGTTATTTGTCTTTGTAGAGTTTTACAAGTTCTTTACATGTCTTTGATATCAGCCCTTTGTGTGGTGTGCAAATATTTTCTCCCATTCGGTAAGGTATGCTATGTCAAGAACTGTTTTTTTCTATGTACTTTATTATAGTTTTAGGGTTTGCTTCCAAGGCTTATTTATTTATTTATACATACATACAAGAACTGGAGTACAGGCCAGAAGTACAGCAGGTGAGAGGATTCACTAGAGACAAAGTAGGGAGCAGAACAGGCAGACTGACTGAGGGGAGCAGTGGGCAGGTCAGGAGAGGTCTGCCATGCTATGTGAGTCACCTCCCTGGATGAGGATTGAACTCCTACTGCAGTGGCTGCAGATAGCTTTCTAGTGCCGTGCTTTTAAACCTTTGCACCACGAGGGATGGCCCCTTTGATCCATTTTGAATTGATTCTTGTGCATGGTGTGAGAGATGTCTAGTTTCATTCTTTTTCATGCTGCTGCCCAGTTTTCCCACACTTGTATTGAAGAGCCTCTCATTGCTCCAGTATATGTTTTTGTCTCCTTTGTCATAGATTAACTGCCCATATATGTGTGTGTTTACTTTTGAGTCCTCAATTTTGGTCTCTGTGTATTTTTTGAACATGCACCTGCATGGTGATAGGATGTTATTCATTTCTAATAAAGTTGCTATTTATCATTTAAAACTTAGCGTTGTGTTATAGTAAATGGTCTTTTAGTTATATATTGTTACCAACATTCTAATATATATGTTAAATTAGATTTTCATCAGTGATAAAGTGGATAAGAAAAAAATGTGTGCAGCGATATTTAAAGTCAATCTACACTTGAGAATTCCCACTGAAAGTGATTCCTCAGAAAATTCTAAAGAAGACTTTAATGAATCTGACATGCAATCTGAAAATTCTGTGACAAGTGAAAATGAAATATCAGAAAGTGAAGCCAACTCTACCACAAAAACCCTTAGTGGAGAACTGTCCCCAGAAATGAAGAAGCCCAAAACATGTAGTTACAATCTTAGAGACCTAGTTTCAGGTAAGACAAGACTATTAAAAATGAAGGGAAGTGGCCCTCCCTGGTGGTGCAGCGGGTTAAAGCACAGCACTGAGAATCTGAAGCCACTTCCGTATGAGTTCGATCCCCGCCTGCCGCCTGCCCGGGAGGAGACCACATGGCGAGCCAGACCTCTCCTGACCCGCCCACTGCTCCCCTCAGCAGTGTACTTCGTCGATCTGCCTGTTCTGCTCCCCACTCTGTCTCTGGTGAAGCCTCTCACCGCCCCTGAGCCTCTGACCTGTACCCCAGCTCTGTATGCACAGATAAATAAATAAATCTTTAAAAAAAAAAAAAAAATGAAGGGAAGTATTCTAATAGCTAGAAAAATAACATGAAGGCAATTTTTCACTTTATAAGTTATAATTTATAAATATTAAAGTAAGAATGCTCAAAGTAAGCATAAATGTATAGTTCCTTTGTGGTACTTGCAAGTAATCACACTTTTTTTTTTAAAGATTTATTTATTCGTACGAATGGGGTACAGGCCAGAGGTGCAGAGGGTGAGAGGATTCACCAGAGACAGAGTGGGGAGCAGAACAGGCAGATCGACGAAGTACACTGCTGAAGGGAGCAGCGGGCGGGTCAGGAGAGGTCTGCCGCGCCATGTGGATCTCCTCCAGGGCAGGCGGGAATCGAACTCATGCGGAAGTGGCTTTAGCTTCTTTGTGCTGTGCTTTAACCTGCTGCGCCACCAGGGAGGGCTTGTAATCACACTTTTAATCTCCAAATACTACTTTGAACTAAGGAGGACCTTAAGGACTCCCATCATTAGGGTGAATAGCTCCTGAGATACTTGCTTAAAAACGTGGCCATTTGGATTCCATGTTAGTCCTCCTTAATTAGAACCTAGGGGTAGGGTATATTGTTTTTCAGTACTGTCTTTCAAATGACCTTACCAGTTTACTTTTAAGTTGTTTAGAAAACCTGAAATGTGTTGACTTACCATCTTTTTATTCTCTCTTTCTTTCAATGGATTCTAATAGACATAAATATTGTGACCGAAGTTGATAAAATCGTATGCGATCAGTAAGTATTTAGACATTTTTGATATTATAAGTAATTGTGTTCTATTTTAGTTATTACTTTCTTCTGAACTATGCTTTTATTGTCTCTTTAGGTTATCAGAATTCCCTACAAATCTCTTTATAGCTCCTAACAGATTGGAGTTTTCGAGTAAAATTCAAAATATGGTGGCAGATATTGAAAAATGTATAAGTAAGTATTTTAAAAGCTTATTTGTATACATTGTCTTCTTTGGACATGTTTTCTTAAATTTAGGCATTTACAAAAGAGTTTGTTGGACATTTTGTTATATTATTTGTACTCTTGGGACCAATCAATGTGAATTTGTCATTACTTGAGGACGTATAAATTTGACACATAGTCATATAGGACATAATATTTGGAGAAATAACCCAAGACTTGAATTGTTTCAGTAATGTGACAGAGTTTTATAAGTTCTTCAACAAATAGCCACTATCTTTTATGTAATAGTGTGACAAGATATTGTTCCTACCACTACACTGTCCAGTTTTATGGGTCCTGTAAACACACGTTGCCTCAATGGAATCAAATAAGTAAAATTCATCTGCTTATAGCATGAAGAACAGAGTGTTCTTGTTTTTACTGGTGAAGTTATGTTACGCGGACATACCACTGTTTTAACTATTCCTATTGGGGTTGTTTGCATCTTGAGTCAATTGTAAATAAAATCGCTACAAACAGTCCATACAGTTTTTTGATAAACATAAGTTTTCTTTTGTCTTGGATAAAATATCCAGAGGTGGGATTGCTGAGCATATGGTAGGTATGTTTAATTTTTTAAGAATTGCAGAGATTTATCATTTTGCATTCCTACCAACAATGTATAAGGCTTCCACTGGTTTGTTATGAATCTTTATTAGCACTTGCCATTGTTGGGTTAAAAATATATTTAGCCAATCTAATAGATGTGTGGTAATAATTTCTTTGTGGTTTTAACTTGCATTTCACTAAAGACTAGTGATCTTGTTCTTCTTTTCATATGCCTGTTATATGCCTGTATTAATGTATGTCTCATTTGGCCAAATATCTCTTTAGATCTGCTTATTTTTTGTTGTTCTTGTTTTATCTTTATCTTTTATTTTATTTTATTTTTTTAAAAAAGATTTATTTATGCATACAGAACTGGGTACAGGCCAGAGGTGCCGGGTGGGTAAGAGGATTCACCAGAGACAGAGTGGGGAGCAGAACAGGCAGATGAATGAATTACACTGCTGAGGGGAGCAGCGGGTGGGATAGGAGAGGTCTGAGATGCCATGTGGTCACCTGCGGCTCTCTTGCAGTGGAGCACTGTAACCCGCTGCGCCACCAGGGAGGGCCTAAATTTTATTTTAGAGAGCAGGGAGTGACACAGGAGATGTTTGTTGCTCATTTTTTTTTTTTTAAGATTTATTCATTTATTCATACAGAACTGGGGTACAGGCCAGAGATACAGAGGGTGAGAAGATTCACCAGAGACAGAGTGGGGAGCAGAACAGGCAGGTCAACGAAGTACACTGCTGAGGGGAGCAGTGGGTGGGTCAGGAGAGGTCTGCCGCGCCATGTGGTCACCTCCGGGGCAGGCGGGGATCGAACTCATGCGGAAGTGGCTTAAGCTTCTTAGTGCTGTGCTTTAACCCGCTGCGCCACCAGGGAGGGCTTGTTGCTCCTTTTTTAAAATTGGAGTATTTGCTTAGTTTCAATGCGTTTGTGCTTTAGATACAAGTCTTTTATCAGATACAAAATTCACAAATATTTTTTCCTCAATTTGTGCCGTATCTTTTCGTTCTTTTTACAAAGCTAAACTTTCTAGTTTTGATAAAGTATAGCTTACCACTTTTTATCTTTTATGAATTATACCTTTATTTTGTATCCAAAAACTCTTTCCTATGTTTTCTTATGGGATATTTATAGATTTCATTTACATATGTGATTCCTCTCAAGATGATTTTGAATTATATGTAAAGTTTTTTTCCTTTGAAAAAACTAGACAGTAGAGGTTGGGTCTTCTCATCTTTTTATACTTACAATGGTACAGTGTTCTTCACAAAACAGATGCATTTTTGATATTTGTTTACTTAGTCCTTATTCTAGTTTCTATTTTAATCATGCCTTCCTCCACCACCACCCAAGTATCTAGGAGTGATTCTTTTTTCATGTTAAATTCAATTAGTTGTACCTGCCTTTAAATTCTGTTTATCAGTATAGAATGTTAAGTAGCTCTCACAATGAACCAGTCTTGGTTTTCTGTAGCTCTATTTTAAGGTGTTGTTTTTATTGGAACTCCTGAAAATGTTAACTTCTGAATTTTAATTTTAGCCTCAATTATTCCTCTTCACCAAGATCCCCGCCTGTCTATCTTTACTACTTCGGCTTTAACTTTAATTAATAAGACAGACGGTGAGCTAGAACATAAGTCCAGATGGCCAGACTGTCAGAAACTTTTTGAAATGGATTCTTCTTATCAAAATAAAGTAAGTTATAAGCAGTTCATCTTAGGAAGCATTCGGAGCAGAAACCCACTGATATTCCTAGGTGAATGGAAGTTATTGAAAAATTATAGTATCATAATTTATGGCAATCAGAAAATGATGCCCAGATTATCTCCTATGTGCCTTTTTCAATATCATTTATCTGTTCGCTTCTGTGTTTTTCCTACTTATCTCATGAAAATGAGCTTTTTCTTTTATGGTCCTTGCCCAGAGGTTGGCTTGATGTGGCTCCAGTCATCCCCATCACCACTTAACTGTGTCTTTTTTATTCAAATTCAGTAGAGAATCTAGTTTTGTTTTTTTTTTAATTTTTATTCTTTTACAATGGTTCATTATTCTATCCCATTCAAAGGTAAGTATGTCTTGGGAATTGGTAAAGCCACATAGAGTATAGAACTTTTTTTTTTTAGGGCTTTGCATAGATCATCTACCCTAAAACAGGGTGAAAGCAAAGGAACAAAAAACAGTCTATCTAACACATGGCTCAAAATAATATAATTATAAAGTTGATAGCTTAGTAAGTCTTCATGTAAATATCAATATAGAGGAAGTCAGTTGTAGTGGTTCTCAATGAAAAATACTCCACATAAAACTATTTTAAATACCCACATATTTGACTATATACATTTTGTACTCTAAAAAATCTAACTTTTGAACATTTTTCTTTATAGATTGTGAGTCTGCTGACTATTATTGGTGATTCAATGGGCCTAGTTACTGTTTATAGCCACAGGTTTTTAAAATACTGTACCGTGGTAGAGAAGGCCAAACTCATGATGACAAAAATATCATTTATGGAAGAACTGACTTCAGCACAATTTAAAACTATACTAAATGTATTCAGGAACTATCTAATATATGTCGTTGATATGGTCATTGAGAAACGCATTGGCATTTTCAAAGTCCTAAGTCTTGATTATCAGTCAGAATGCTTACCATATGTCGATAATACCATATGCCGGAGCCATAGCCTCTTGCAATCTATAATTACAAAAAGGAATGCAAATCTGCTGAAAGTAAGTACTTTAAAAATTCCTATGTCATGATTATTACGGTTAGTGGATAATAGGTAATAATTTTATAGTAGATAAAAATTTGAAAATATATACTCAGAAAACGTACTTTATGATTATTATCCTCCAACAGTTCTAATATGTGTTGCATGAGTTTGGGTCATAATGAAATGTAACTTGCCCAAACAAAGCTGTCTGACCACTGTGTCTGAAATTGCACCCCATGTCACTTACCACCTCTTTTGCCTGGGGGGAACCATTGTCAGGTTGCAAACAGGGAAATGGCATGAAGCAATTTGTAGAGCCTTTTCTTTTTTCCTGTTTCTTCATTGTCATTTAAGTACCAGTGTTCCACGTCCCTGTAGTGGTTTGGCAGCTTAAGATTTCCCCTTCTGTAGAGTCACCACAGCACGCCTACCACTGAAGCACTCATAGTCCGGTGCCAGAGTCCTTCACGGTGGTCCCTTTTTGTCCTTCTCTCTCCTCCCCTCTTTGAAAGCCACAGCTCTCTGGTCAGTTTTCAAGAATTGGTTTTAAAGGTTTTATGTGGTGTGGCTCTTTGTTTGGTTTTTCTACATTGTATCTATAAGGGGTACCACCCAGAATTTATCTTTCTCTTCCAGGTTTATTTCATGTTGCATAATCCCTCCAGCTCCATCCATGTTGCCACAAATGGCATAAATTTATCTATTTTGGTTGCTGAGCAGCATTCCATTCTGACAAAAGAAGGGAAAAAGGGTGGTGTTTTACTTCCAGACTTCAAACTATGTTATAAGGTCATAATAATTAAAACATGACCATTGCATAGCACTGGAATGAAAACCCATGCACAGGCCATGGAATGAAATTTAGAAACCAGAAATAAACTAAAAAATATACAGACAGCTAATTTACAACAAAAATATATACACGGAACTAGGAAAATCTCTTTTAATAAATGGTATTGCGAAAGAATAAATTAGACCACTTTGCACACCATACACTAAAATCAACTCAAAACGGATATAGGTTTGGATGTAAGATCTGAAAGTAATTGGCAGTTTTGTAAGGGCCTGGGTGCTGCAGTAAAGAGAGCTGACTAAATTGGGACTAGACAGGAGGAAACCGTTTCTGTAACCCAGGTGCGAGGTGATGAAAGCTTGAACTAGGGCAATAACAATATGGACCCTGACAAGTGTGTGGATTTGCGATGCATTTAGGAGGTGGGGTCACTAGGATTTAGTGTCTGACTATAAAGAAAAAGAGGTAGTAATTCAGGATGTTTTTAGGTTTTGGGTTAAGCAACAGGAATTTAGTGTTTGTAAAACTGTGTAATGTTCAAGTTTAGATACCCAGATAGACATGTCTGGAAGTCATGAGAGTCTAACTTGGAAATAAATATTTAAATGATTAATATAAAGGTGGAGTGAATAAAAATGCCCTGTTTATGTGTACGGCGGGAATAAAAAGGGACCTACCACAGACATCTGAGAATTATTACCATTTAGGGAATTGCCAGAGGAAGGAGGACCCAACAAAGTATCCTGGGAAGGGTCGACCAGAGATTAAGATGAAAGCAAGAATGTTTTGAGCAGTAAGGAATGTTGAATTGTTTAATACTAAAGTGTTTTAAGAAAGAATTAAATGTGTTTATTATATGGAAGGTTGCTAGGTGTTCCCATTCAGGCTTCTGTTTTCATTGCACTTATGTGTGGCAGGAACCCTCAGAAACCTGTATCATACAATTTTCTTGTCAGCATTACGTACAAGGGCACCCATTTTAATGAAATAGCAGCTGCCTGCCTTGGTTCACAAACTTAGTAAATACTGATGCTGGGGCTCAAATACAAGTCTTTCTGATTTTAAAACCTGTTCTTATAAAACCTGTGATTAAAGTGTATATGCAAATGTATGTATATGTATATGTATGCGCACACTCAGACTGCAGTAAATTTCTGAATGGTTAATAGTTCTTTTCGGGTAATGGAATAATAGATATTTTCTATGTTATGAACTTTTTTGCATTACAATGTTTACATAGGCATCTGTTTTATAATAAAATAACAAGGAATTAAAAAATTAGAAACAAGGAATTAATTCAAGTCTGAGATAATGAAAACTGAACTGACCGGTTGTAAAGTTATTCATGAGTCTTCATTAAAAACCAGTGAAACATGAGAAAAAATAGAATAAGTTATAATTTGAGTATAGATAAGCAATTCAAAATTTCATATGACACATATACTTATAAAAAATGTAGATTTTATACATATAGTAACTGATGCAAGTGGGATTTGGAATCAGGTTTAGCTTTGAATAATAATACTAACTCTGAATGTTTTTTAGACTAATTAATCCCTCTAAAACTCTGTGTGTAAATTAGAGAAAATAACACTTAATTAACAAACATGTTATGAGGACAAAGTGAAATGTTTATAAAGTATCTAGCAAATAAATGCTTTTAAATGTTGCAATTTTTATGTAGTGTTCACAGTTCAGTCACAACATTACTATTGTTAATACTTCCATTTCTTAGAAACAAAATTATTCATAACAGTACTTTCTCATGTCTTAGTATTTATTTTATCTACATTCAAATTCCTGTTAACAGTAGAAAGGATTTTATCATGTTAATGCACCCATACTTAAAACAATATTTACAATAATGTCTAGATGATATCTTTGTTTTTTCCTGAAATTATAATTAGCTAAGTTGGTGAGTAATATTAAAACAGTAGACCTTTAAAATAGTGAACATACTTATAAAATTATAACTGATGTGTTAATGATTTCAGGTTGTAGACACATCATTGAAGAAGCTGGAATGGGACCCTATTGAAATAGAAGAATTTGTGGAACATTTTACATTTTTGGGTGTGATTTCCTCAAAAATATCTAAGTTAGAAAAAGACTGCTTATCACTTACTGAATTGCATTCTGTTGTAAAGCATTTCCAGATACATATTTCTGAAGAGCAAACAGCCTTATTTAAGATTCTTCTTCACAAGTTTGGTCAACTGAAAATTGCTCTGAAGTTAAGTGAAGCAAAAAAAGAGGCCGCTCTTGCTAAATTCAGAGACAATTTGGAAACATATGTCAGTGGTCTGAGGGTTGATGTTAGTAATTTAAAGGCCAAAGTAAGTTTTTGTTTTTCTTTAAAAATCAGTTTGATCTTAGCCTCATGTAAGTCTTATGCATATAGGTTTTTGTTTTCTGTGAAATCCTTAGTAAATAATTTAATTCAAGTATTCTTAAACTGGAATCCACAGACTGACTCAGTGTAGTTTAGTAGGGGACAAATTGAGGCAATTTTTACTTTCCTTTCTATCTAGAGGATATTGCAAATATCCACAATTTCATGGGCAATTGTAAACCTCTAATAAGCTCTACAACATCTGAGTATTACAAAATTCACGTGGGTCATAATAAGGAAATGGGCTTCGGGGTTAGGCTGCAGGAAGACCAAACTCTAGAACTTCAATTTAGCATTTTATGAATGATATATAATGTCAGAACTTCCTTGAAAAGTTGTGATAGATATTAACCAACTTTCAAGATTGTATGGATTTAATTAGTACGGCATTGTGTTACTTACCACAGGGCCTGAAACAGAGAAGATGAACAATAAATTAGAACAGAACAGTATCTATTCTAATAAAAATATTAATTAAGTAAGTTAATCCCAATAAACAGCATAAGTCAAGGACCATCTTTTCACATTATGAAGGCAAATCATGGTGTCAGTTTAGAGTGAGTACTGAAATGCTATCAATAAAGTATGTTTAAATTCTGAGCATGGTGATCTCTTAGAATGTCTTGCTACTATTTTTTAGGTAAGAGATCCCGTTCTGTTGTGCACCCATACTCGAGTGTCAGAAGCAAAGGAAATGATCCAGATTCTCTCACAGGAAACTGCAAGTTTAGCTAACAAAGCTAAAACCTGTTCAGGCTTTCATGATTGCTTTATCGATTGCCAGTCTCAGATACATTCTCTTAATATGGAAGAGATTACACAGATTGTGATTTCGGAGATCTCCGACATTGAATATGATTTAACCTTAAGGACAATACTATGGAATGCACACGAGGAATGGGGAGAAGTCTTTTGCAAATGGAGGAGCAGTACTCTTTTCAGTATTGACACAACCTCAGTACAGAGAAGTGCTTCAAAATGGATGCAGAAAATCTTTGTACTAGAAAAAGGTAAAAGTGTATTTTTAAGTTGCCTCTGAGCCAGCAAGATAGTGGTTCTTGGTGATTTTTCTTCAGCTCCTCCCTGTTGCTGACCATTAATGAAATTTTAAATAGTAATTAATAATTTTGTGTCACTTAAAAATGGGTCCCTTATGATTCTGGACCTTCTTTGAGCCAGAGAATCCAGAGATGTTTTGATGATGAGACCTGACTTGCAGACTTTTCATCAAATTCTCATCTGATTTGCAATTTTGCCAGTGCTGCTTCTGTGTAATCATTGGTCATTCTTTGATATCATCTCCTTTCCAAAAGGAAAGTTTTACTTCCAAAGAGAACATTTTCGCTTTTTAAACTCCTTTAATTCTCAATTATTCTTCAAGATACTATCTCTTTTCCAGAAAAAAATTATTTCACTTGTTTTTAAATTATACAAGAGATATAGCTGTATCACAGAGTTTAGAAAAGAGAAAAATTTGAAACACATCTCTTATAGTCTCACTGCTTTGACAGTCATTTTGTGCATTCTCAATGTCTTGCTTTATATCTGTTTCAGTGAATAAGATATAGTGTAATCAGTAGACTACACCTTCTTTTCCCCCAGATTTCCTAGATTAAGGCCTATTGTTTGCCGGATTGTAAAATGCAAAACTCAACATTATTCTCTTATTCTTTTTACTTAGCCAGGCAGGTCTTAAAAACATTTTTGTAAAGGGGGGTGGGAGTGCACTGGACTATGGTGATGGCACATGGGTGATTGGTGGTGGGAAGCCCACGGGGATGACAACTGAGATGGGAAAAGGCACAAAATGATGTAAAAATAAACATAGTATTACAAAAAAAAAAACATTTTGGTTAGTCAACATGGCTTTATAAGATAGGGCCTACCTGAACACATTGGATATTCAAGAATACAGCTTCAGTCCTCCTAACCCTCACCTGGGCTCCTCTCCGTCTCTAAGTTGGGAACAGAGATGACAAGGGTCAAGCATTCAGCTGCATAGGCCTTGTGTCTGCTGCCTCAGTGGTTTTTCAGGGACAGAGAACAGACCAAGGTTGGTCTGGAGTAAACTTTTACCGGTATTTCTGTATTTCATTGTTAACTTATGAAATTATACTGACATATTTTCCCCTTGATGTTCTTTTAAGCTCTGAGCAGAGCTTAAAAGCCTGAAATCTGCAAGCATCTTTTGGCTGTATATATGTGTACCTATCTTGGCAGCAAAATTTGGAAAACGCTGTGTGTTTAGCTAATCCTCTTTTTGCATTTTAAAAGATAACTCGGGTCTGCAGGTCTTGGGTTTTTATCACTATTCTGACAATTATTTCTTTGTATTTTAATCCACAGTTGACTCTTACTGTAAGGCAAGATTAATGAAATTCATTATTTTAATGTAGACTAATAACCAATAAATTGTTATTACATTAAATCACAAATTTGTTTTCTGGGTTAAAAACATTGTTATTTATAGGTTTACCAAAAAATGACATGGTAGAACATCTTAAGCAGTCAGTGATGGATTTTAAACAAGAGCTGCCTATTTTCATCGCTCTGGGAAACCCCTGTCTCAGGCCTCGGCATTGGGAGGCTCTCCAGGAGATTATTGGAAATTCAGTTTCTCTTGATAAAAACTGCACAGTGGAGAAACTTGTAACCCTCAAGGTAAATAGAAATCATTTGAAAGAAATCGCCAAAAATAAAGGCCAATTTTAAGTAGGCAAGTAAATCTTCAGGGAATGGAGTTGGGAAAAAGAAGTTTATGGTCTAGGAAAGCAGGACTAGATGGTAGGTGAGAAAAAGTTATGTCTTATTGGGGCTGTGGGGGAGCTATTCATTATGCCCTTATATTTAAGTAACTCGAAAACAATAATCCTGGCTTTCTTACGTAACAAAATGAATCAGGTGGATTCATATTTTATCATTAAACAGTGCTCCTTATGATAGAGAGTACATTTATAGGAATAGAAAACTCAAAACTACTATATTCCATTTTATACTAAATAAAAATATATCAAAAGCATGTTTGGATAACCTCACTCAAAACTTGAAAATTAGCAACTCTTTGATTTGCTATATGGGTTTTGTTATAAAAATGTTCCATTATTTTTATGTTTTTTTCCCCTATTCTCATAACTAGATGAAGTTTCATGCTTCACAGTTGACAGTGACTAGTGTAGTAATAAAATCCAGTATCTAATTTCTGTAACTTTCTCCTAAATGGTCACTGTAGTAAAGAAGCAGGAATAATTTCAATTTAGAAAGAATTTGAATAGATTACTTAATATCACCTACCTATCTCAACCTATCTCCTAAACTCACCTGTCTAAAATATCTCAAATTTAACATGTCCAAAAATATGTTCTTATTCTCCATTTCCCAAATGCTACTTTTTCCTCTCTTCCCATCTCAGCTAGTGGTGACTGTATTTTTTTCCCCAGAGGTTAAAAATTATGAAAATCTGTTCTTCCACTCCTCATTCCATCTGAATCACCCCTCTATCCTGCATATTTACCAGATTATTATTATTATTATTGGATTATTACTAGAGCTTCTAACTGAGCTGTGAACTAAGAGTGAATTTAGCAAAAAATCTGCACAGTTTCAGAACATACAGGCTGATGCCAAACAACTAAGTTTATTCAAACCTGCATTATAAAACCAGCATTCCAATAATTTACAAAGCTTTGAATGAGTGGATCCTTCCCAGGCAAATCAGGTAAAGTGTAAATTTTGGCAGATTGAGTGCAGCAGTGAACAATAAAAGCAAAGGTGAAGTGGTATAGAGAGGATCAGCTAGTGACTTACACAGAGTTGCTGGCCTGTGAAACCTCAAAGGGTTCCAGCAAATGGTCCTTTGACTGCTAACATGGATAGTTTAAAAAGGAAGGCCTGTGCACCTTTTGGAGGATCTGAATTAAGATAATTTAACATTTGAATAAAAAGGAACATATTTTGCTTCTGAAATACTGTAGCCAGGAGTCAAATGCAGCCTTCTCCTCCTTGAGTTTAATATAAATAGTCAGAAGGGATAAGAAGGCAACCACTTGATAGTTTTCAGTGGACTTGAAGTCAGGTCCCACACTTTGGCCACAGAGGTTTGACAAGGCTAGATTCACTTGGTTGAAAATTTTCTTTGGATGTTAATCAATTTCTGTATCTCTTTTTTAGCAATGTCAGAATGTCAGCATTAGGCACAAAGTTCTTCAACCCAAAAAGTTGATGGCTTTTTTTGCCTTTGACTGGATAATGTATGTCAAGAGCTCGACTCCCTTCCCAAAGTCATAAGCAGTCAACTGATTCCATTAAATAAGAGAGCTGATGAAGTTGTATTTGTTTATTATCCTCACTGAACTACATTACCAAAACATAGGGATTAGGTAACACTCTTTAACCCTATGTAGATGACATACAGAACAGTGGTACTTCTTTTAGGGAAAAAGAACAGTCAGCCAAGATAGTTAATTCCAAAATTTTGAATGAGAAACTATCTTTGCTTATGGAAATTGATAGTCAGTCCACATGACAAAAAGATCTAGATGTATTCCACTAATGTATTCTGTAAACCTTTACTTTCAAGGATGTTGGGCAAATAAAGTCAAGCTGTAGAAACCTGGGTCCATTAAAGTTACATTATTTCAGATTATTGTGTCCCAAGAATTATTTTAGAAAGTAAAGGGCCTTCCCTGGTGGCACAGTGGGTTAAATCACGGCACTGTGAAGCTACTGCAGTCACTGCCACATGAGTTCAATCCCCGGTCAGGGAGCTGACCCACATGGTACAGCAGACATCCCCGGTCTCTCCCGCTGCTCCCCTCAGCAGTGTACTTCATTTATCTGCCTGTTCTGCTCCCCACTCTTTCTCTGGTGAATCTTCTTACTGCCCCTGCCCCTCTGGCCTGTACCCCAGTTCTGCATCTGTAAATATATAAATCTTTAAAACAAAAAGTAAAAGCGTGTCACAAAGGAATTGAGCAAGTGGCATTAGTGCAGAGAAAGAAAACTGAAGGAAGTGACGCCATATATTTCATTTATATATGCTAAAGGCCCTGGTAACTACTGTTTACTCTTATTGGAACCCAGAAATAGATACTGTTTTTAGAAGTTTTCACTGAGCATGAGTATATTTACTATGAGTACAAATAAGTGAATAAAAACTGAAAATGTTTATGTCATGAAAGTTGGCCAATGAAGTCTCTCATTAGGACATAAACCTAACTGGAAGCAGATCATCGATACTCCTGGTGTACACTAGACATGATCATTTAAATCTTTTATTTTAAATGTATCAGGGGTGATTTGCTCCACTGGATGCTTAAAAATAGTTTTTCTATTTTAGATGTTTCAATATGAAAAAGAAATAAACAAAATATCGACAGCAGCAACTAATGAAGCTGCTCTTGAAAAAATGCTCAACAAGGTTATTGAGCTTTGGAACACGACTCCTTTGCATTTAGTTCTTCATCAGACGGAGACTTACTCTAGCCTAATAATTTCATCAATAGATGCATTGTTAGCTCAATTAGAAGAGTCTCAAATCATACTGGCAACAATTAAAGGATCTTCCCATCTTGGACCTATTAAGGTAAATATTATGGCAAAGGGAAAATGTTTGAATTTAGTATAGTTTTATTGACCATTTAAATCTTTACATTGTGCAAATGCTGAAACAGTATTAATCATTAAAATGCTAACAGAGATGAGATTGAATTTTACTTGAAGTACTAAAAGCTTTTTACAGTAACATTATTAATTGCTCATGAAGAAATGAGAGTTTAATTTGTGAAGACAGATACATTTAGAGCATACAAAAACAGGGCCTTGTAAGCCATGACTTTTACTCGCAATGTTGTAACTATTGCTGGAAATCCACAGTTCTAGTATATCTATGCCAAAATAATTGCATTGATGTTCTGCCTCCAGAGGTAGAGTGCCTTATTTTCATTTCCTCTGCTTATGCTTTGAAAGGTTAAACCTGTCTCAGATGGCTGCATTATTTTTAGAACAGTGGTCACTCCACGTCTCCTTTAGGATAATTAGGAGTTATGCCGGGGTCTGCTTGTGTTCGTTGTTCCCTGATTGTCCATGTTGGCAGCCCCACGTTGAATAACATAGCGAAGAATCATTTAAAAACTTCAGGAAACTAAATTAGATAATAATGCAGAGATATGTAATCCTGAAAATAGTAGTTGACTATTGACTGGATATATTGAGTAATAGAAATAGATACACAACAAATGGCATTTGTGTCATTTACAACTGCACAACATTTTGGAAAAATGACATCAAAGACTTAGAGAAAAAAAGTGAAACTATATCTAATAGGATAAACTAACTTGACTATGTTCTCTAACACATCAGTGAAACGAAAACAAACAGCAGGAAAACAGCCCAAACCCAGAGAAACAGTATAAAAAAAGTCACAAAAAGGGAAATTTTAAGGTAACCAAGAAATAGGACAGTATAATAAGGTTGCTCTTTCTCTCTTTAAGTTGGAAATCTTTGTTAGACCCATTATTTCTATTTGTTGCCATCTTGTGTTTTCTGTCTTCATTGGG